TCCCCGCCCCACCGTCTTCCGGGTCCCCTGCCCGGGCTCCGGGCCCCGCGGCCACCCGCTCTCCCCGCCTGGGCCTCCCATTGGTCCTCTCGCCTCCGCCGACCCTTCCTCTCATTGGTCTCTCTGCCTGGCACCCCGCCTCGGCCTCCCATTGGCCCTCTCGCCTCCGCCTCGGCCTCCCATTGGTCCGGCGCCTTGCCCCTCACAGTCCCTCTCGGGACCGCCTGGGGCTGCCCTCTCCGAGGGCTGGTGATTCCTGTGGGCTCTGCAGCCGCCTGTCTTGGTTTTGCTCCCCACTCTCCTTTTTTTTTTTTTTTTTACGCCCACAGCACCAGGTCTTCCTAGGTGGTTTCCCATCCAAGGACTGACCGGCCCGACCCTGCTTAGCTTCCGAGATCAGACGGGATCAGGCGTGTTCAGGGTGGCGTGGCCATAGACTTGGTTTTGCTCATGTCACTCGCCTCGTCTCTGCTCCCAGTGCTTACTGTCTTCCCTCTGTCCCTTTTCATGCTCTGCTTCCGCCGCTCGGGAGCCAGAGCCCCCGAGCCTGGCTGCACCCCGCCTCCCCTGCTCTGCCTGAGCCTGAGGCTGGGTATCCACCGCTGCCCACACGCTTGTCTCCTGCTTCTTTCCTCTTTGCGCCACTTCGTAACTTCCTTTCTTCCCTGAAATAAGAGGCAGCGAATGCCTTCTCCAGGTTTGCTCCCGGTGTCTAGTCTGCAAGGTCCTTGGCGCTTCACCCTTTCTCGGCCCCTCTCCTGAGTTCCCTGCCTCCCTTCGTGGCCTTCCTGCCCTGCTTCCTTGAATTCGGCCAAGGGGAATGGACCTCCCAGCATAACCAGAGAGGCAGCAGGGATAAACATGATAAATACCCAGTCAAGATGGTTATTGCTTTGGGTTTTTGAAATGAAAAATGAACTGGGATGCCCACATCGACCCGGACCTAGGATCAAGATTGAGTTCTTAAAGGACCAAGTGAGACTGCAATGACGAAGTTGATTATCCCAGCAACAGAATCATTTTTTTCCTGGGGAAATTACTCATATCAATGGTTTATGCAGTATTGTTCTTCTAACAAGTTAAACTGTGGTTTTAAATTTGTGCTAGTTTTGTAAATGCTTTTCGGTAAGGCGGAGGTTTAGAGCCAATCCCCACGCAAGTGTTTGGGCTTCAAAAAAAGAAAAGAAAACTCTAGGTTATTCACATGAGGAAACTCAGGCTTTTTCAAAGTCATTAAAGGGGGCGATCTCAAACTTAAACCTCTCCTGAAGAGGTCCCTTGGCAGGAGAGTCCTTCCCCCGCTCCCTACCGGGATGCGGAAGAGCAGACGCATAGGCATGTTCCCACCTATGGCCGGGTCCTGACAAAGCCCCCACCGCGGCCCCCAAGGCCCTGCCCCCCAGGATTTCCGAGGCCTCTCCGGATACACTGACCGTCTTTCTGCCAAGCAGTTTCTCACAGGGTTTTCGCATTCGCTGTGGCGACCTGTCTGGATCAGCTTTCCTTCAGACTTCTCACATGGCTTAGCTCATATGCCTCCCCTGGGAGGCATTTCTGACCCCATGTCTAAAGTAGGATCCCTCCCACTGGACCCAGACAGTTATTTTCTGTCATATCACCTTGTTATCTCCTTCAGTCTGAAATCATCTTGTTTATTGTTATCATCTGTTCCCCTTCTCCCTGCCTGCACCATTAACATGTGAGCTCCTGGACGAGGGGCCTTTTCTGTGTTTCTTCAGAGCTGTATCTCAGATTCAGGAAGCCCTCGCTGAATCCATGAATGGTGCCTTAGCTGTGATCAGACGGACTGACCAAACTGTCCTTCAGGTTTGGTTCTGTCAAGGTCCAATAGACACACCTCTAAGTAAGAGAGTTGGGGAAATAGCTGTTCTCTTTGTAAGTATTTTGTTTCTTGGACTTGTGAGCTTCGTTTCTGGCTCTCCTCTGACCAGGAGAGTGAGGGAAGAAGGCTCATCGCCCCAGGCCACCCTCTGCCCGCCTCCTTTCCGGCAGTTTCCAGCATGTTGTCACCACCTCGCCCGCACCCTGACCCCAGGTGGACAGATACTTGGCAGGGTGTGGCTCCTTCCTCCAGGGCAGTCACTGATGCGGTGCTTTCTGAAGGTTGGGTGGGGGAAGGGACAGAGTTCCTGTTCGGTGTCACCATCATGCCCAGCCGGGCTGCTGCCATCAGTTCCACCTTGGGCAGTAAAGCAGAGCAGAAGGAAGCCCCTTCTCGTTTCCCCTTCCTCCCTGTCACATTCTCCTGGGGCTTCTGTTCAGCAGCTGGAACAGCCTCATCTTTTCCAGGAGTCTTTGCACAGGCATGCGTCCTCTCTACCTGCTGAGGCCGAGAGAACCCAGATCTGTTGCTGAAAAACTGAAATCTAGTCCTAGCCGACCCTAGCAGGCGGAGGCCGGTAACTGTCTGGGTCTCGATGACCTCATCTGCCTTCGCCTGTGCCGTTTGTTCATGGTTTCAGGGGTATTGACAACTATCCGCCAAAACCAGAACTCTGTGGCTTCCCCTCGGGGCCACAGAGAGGCTGCCGGGAGCAGTAAAGCCAGGGCTTCCTAATTTATGTTCAGTGGGAGTGCCCGTCTGGTCCTGCGTTCCAGGCCAGGATCCTCCTGGTCACCCCGGTTGGACCGTATGGGCCTAGGTGACCACTCCAACAGTGACCGTGACCAGGAGGATGGACCGTGCCAATCAGGTTAAACCAACCAGAGCATCTCCTCGGAGCAAGTGAGGGGTTGGCTCCTGATAAGCGTGTGTGGAACCAGTCTGAGTACTTCCAGACGGGGTGGGGATGGATGCTCAGTGGGTACCCAACAGTGCCCCTTACGTAATTAGCACAGTGCATGGCAAGTGGGGACGGCTAGCAAGGGTTACCATGCCGTTGGCAGCACAGAGAACACGGGGTGGGAGAATTAGCCTGGCACCAAAAGACATTCATCTCAGGTCCCTCATCTACCACTAAGTACTAGCTTTAGGATTTCAGACAAATCCTGGAAATCATGGAAATGCCATTTTAGAGGTGGAGGAGGACTTACAGGTCAAAACGCTCAGGCCTCCATAGGACAGACTGGGAAACTGGCACCTGCAGGGGTTGGGCCAGTCTCGGTTCCTTCCTCTGAGAAGCGGGGCTGATGACACTGGCCCCGTCTACACTCCGGGTTGTTATGTGGATCAGAGATAATGGCTCTACTAAGGGCTTGGAAAGTAACTCAAATGCTATTCTTGTGCTAGGCATTTTATTTTATTGTTAATATAGTAATAATGCCTTATTAAGAGAAAGGAAGAGTACATTCAAAGGATAAGTTTACTTGTCTCCTAGAAATGAATAATAACACCTGAGAAAGAGCAAAATGAGTGTGTGTGCCCACGCCTGCGCGTGCCCATGCTCTCCTTAAGTGAAGTGGGTGGGGAAGGTGTCGAGTGCAGTTCAGGTGTGGCCCTCCCTCCACCTTTAGGGAGTGGAGGAGGGCGTGGCCGTTGGGGCCTGAGGCAGGGTGTGGTAGTCAGTTATAAAATGAAAGTTATCTTTCCTTGAATGACTTTCAGAAGAGGGAAGTCGGTCTCACAGGAGGGCTGATCTAGCATGAGAGAGACACCCTATTTCAGAGTGATGTTATATTCATGGCTTAACCTCCCATGTTCCTTCAGTTCCTCTGATAAACAGCTACCAAGACAGGGGTGTCCTGGGCGAGGTTTAAAGGAGGAGTATCTATGAGAGAAGAGAGAGGCCAGAATGAGGAAGCAAACAGATCTGCCCCCGGGGAAGGGAGCTCTGAGGGGCGGAGTGCCTAGAAGGTCTGCAGGTCTGAGGGGCTTGAGGCCAGGCTGACCTGACTGCTGGGGCCCTAATTCCCTGCCCAGGGGCGTGGTGGGGGATTCCAGAGATAGGTGCTTAGTGAGGCACACCCCGTGCAGGGAGATCTGACGGGGCACTTGCACTGTCCCACACCATTCCATGAGGTTTCAGAATGGCCTCATTCATTCTTTCGTTCATTCATTCAGCTGATCTGCTGCTACCAGGTATCACTTGTCAGTTGCTGTCTCTAATAGCGTGAGATCCTTGTCTTTCCCAGCTACCTTCCATCTCATTTCTAACATCTCAAAACGGCAAGTTTGCCTGATAGGGGTTCCTTGCCTGTTGCCCCAGTTGCATTCTGGTATTGGGCAGTACTTAACGCGGGCGAGCCACTTACTAAATGTTCAAATAGAATGAAATTCACTGAACCCCATGATGGTTGGAAGCACAGCTACATTCACTTCCAGGAACCTCCACTGTTTATGCAGAACGAGGGGCAAGTTTTAACTATCAGCACTTCTAGAAGCCTGTTATTTGACTAAGTCCAAAATAAGTGTACGAGGGCTCAGGAGATGAAAGAAGAGGAAACATTTTATGAAAGTAAAAAGCTGAAGAGATCGGTAGAGAGCGAAACAATGAAAGAAGAGAAATTTAATTTACGAAATGGAAATCCAGATTTGGGGGAGGAAATAGGGAATTATCTTCCTAAAACTGCGAGGAACAGTAAACTTATCCAAGATGGAAAAGAATCAAGTCAAGCAGGCATTTGAAGAAGCCGTAGATGAAATAAAAGGCAAAGATTAATTACTCGTTGTAATGAGAACCCATAGAAACAGATGGAAAAGTAGAAACCACGGGCAAAGAAATTAAGAAATGGGTGAGAAATATATGATGAGGGGTTTGGAATAAACCAGTGAGAAATTTAACACAGAGAAAATAAAATGCGGGAGAGTGGAGAAAAGCAATCATACCTAATGAATTTGTAATATCATAGAAAATGAAGTAAAACGTAACAAAAAGGCAAGCAGGAGTATTTTCTCTGAACGTTGCATTAATATTTCTATATTTTAAATCGTCAACAATTTTCTCATTTTCTACTGCATGTGCCTGTCATAGCAGAGGGCAAAATAAAAATTTACACAGAAATAGGAAATCTTAATTTCTGACTGTCGTTTTAGCAACTCGGGCTCTGCGGATTGTACCTTTGTGGTGTGACACTAAAGTCTGAATAAAGGCTTTACGTTTCAATAAAGAGCTCATATAACCCAATAGCAAAAAATCTCAAACAATTCAATTAAAAAAATTGAATTGGGCAGAAGAACGGAACAGACACTTTTCCAAAGACATACACGTGGCCAACAGGCACATGAAAATGCGCCGGCCCGTCACTCCTCATCCAGGAGATGCAAACCGAAACCACAAAGACAGGATCACCTCACCTGGTGGGATGGCTGTTATCGAAAAGACAAGACTTAATGATCGTTAAGAGGATGTGGAGAAAAGGCCCCCATTGGTGGGATTGTATGTTAGCGCAGCCGCTTACAATGTTTGTGGAAAACAGCACGGGAGCTCCTCAAAAAATTAAAAATGGAACTACCATCTGAGCCAACAATTCCATTTCTGGGCATTAGAAGAAAACTGAATCAGTGTCTCAAAAAGATATCTGCGCCCCACTGTCACTGCAGCGTTATTTACAACGGCAGAGACGTGGAAACAGCCTAAACGCCCATGGGCAAATGAATGGAGAAAGAAGGGGCAGTATATCCACACGACGGAATATCATTCGGCCATAAAAAGAAGGGAATCCTGTCATTCGCAACAACACGAACGAAACTCGAGGACATTATTGCTATGGGAAATAAGTCAGGAACACAAATACTGTATGATCCACTTATATATGGAATCTAAAAGAAAAGGCAAACTCATAGATGCAGAGAGCAGATTCGTGGTTGAGAGGCGGAGGCGGGGGTGGTTTGGGGTGAGGAGAGTGGGTGAAATGGCTGAAAGTAGTCCAAAGGTCAGACTTCCAGTTATAAGTCCTGGGGATGTCATTTATGCCATGGAAACTGTAGTTGACAACAGTATATTGTGTATTTGAAGTTTGCTGGGAGAGTAGACCTTAAAAGTTCTCGTCACGAGCAAAAAAATTTATAACTGTGCGGTGATGGATGTCATCTAAACTTATTGTGGTGATCATTTCACAATATATACATATATCAAATCATTATGTTGCACACCTAAAAAAAATACAATGTCATATGTCGATCGTGTCTCTATTTTAAAAAGGTTTTAAATTTCAGTCACCTCTGGGTGTACTTTGAAATGTTGTCTATTTAGTTTCAGGAATTAAGGCACGTATTGCTTCTTCTCAAATTAAAATCCAATGTAAAAAAACATTGCGAGTAGTCTTGGAAACTATTTTTCACTTGAAATAATATTGCAATGGGTTGTTATGCCTTTTGTAAATAAATTCCATTAATAAAATTGAAATAGGTCTTCGATCAAAATGAAGGTTGGAATGAAATATGAAGCATGCAATATTTTGCATCTACACAGGGAAGGCTGAGACTGGCTGACAGATCTGGTGTCTTCTGGAAGAAAATGCTGGTCCACAGCTTGGGCGCCTTCCACAAGGGTAAGCTCAGGTAAGCAGCCAGGTGTTCACCCCCCAAGACTTTCCCAGGTAAGCCCAGGAGGCCTCTGCAATGCTGGGGTTCTGGAACCAGCGGCGCAGGTGGCAGAATACACAGGTATTAAGGTGTTTAAAGAGATTAATGCCGGTGTGGATGTGAAACCCTTTTCATTGTGAGTTCAGTGACGTTGAGAAAGGCCCGTCTTCCCTAAGCTTACTGGGATGCACTTCACTTTTCTGATGCATTCAGTGACTTAGAAGAAAACGGGATTATGTTGTAAACATGCATAATGAATAAAACTGCATCTTATGTGCCGCATCGTTTTGCTAACGAGCATCTAGTCTGTCTGAGATCTGCAGGGACCAGTGTCATGCTCTGGTGGGGATACTAGCCGGACAGTGTCTGAGTTACCTGTTCAGCCTTCATATTCGTAGAGTTTTCAGTCCCTGAACGCAGTGTGCGGGAACCATGTGATGTCTTCTTATAACTAAATGACCTCCATGTTCTTTTCCCAGCTCCCTTTCTGTCTGAGGGTAGACTACTTAATCTAGTTTATTCTAAATTAGCGCCTTCTTGGTTTTTCTTGATGAGTTCAGACCTCCACCCAGTCACTTCTCTGACATCCTCCTCAAGGCACAGGGACACCTGGCAGTCTTCCCAGGCCAGGGTCTCAGGCACCACAGGAGATTCCTGTGGCCCTTTCTTCCTCACCTCTCAGGCTCCAGGGTTCCAGACAGGAAGCAGAGAGCCTCCTCGGTTCACCCCCGCGCCCCTCCCCCCCACCCCGACTTTTCCCGGAGAGTCATTATCTTTCCCTTAGAACCCACTGGGTGGTGAGCAGGACCCCCTCACAGACCCTGTCTCACTCTCGCCTCCCCCCTTCCTCCCCTCTCTCCCATGAGGAAGGGGGCTCTTTAACGTGGGTTGGGGGGCTGGGGGTGGAAGAGGAGCTACCCGTGGAGTCGCAGAGAGTCCAGAGTCTCCGCGTCTCGGCATTTCAGCACTCCAGGGCCAGCTCGCCCTGGGGTAGGTAGCAGAGCAAGGTAACTAACTGAGTACTTGGGGAATTTTCAACAAATGACGGTGGGAAGTGGCCCATCAGTTAATACTCAGTGCCACGCCCCTCACATTCATGGCGAAGCCTCATCCACAGTCGTCACTGCTCCAGAAAAGCTCAAGCAGAAACGAGTGGCTGGGGCACCAACACGTGCATCTTAGGTCTGTCCAGCTGACTGGGTGCGAGCAGGGCTTAAAGCTACTGTTGCTTATTTGCAAATGAAGTCGTTGGCTCCCTGAGCCTTGGTAGTCTCTTTTCCTCCCGTTCAGATGCCCCCTTATTGCAGTTTCTCTTGAATCTTAGCTTTCAGCATCCAGTGGTCTGTGTACTAACAGGGCCTCAGACGTGTAGGCCTGGGAAGTCAACCCGCCATAAGGGGTTCCCCTCAGAAAGGGATCTTGGGAAGAGGTCCATCAGGAAAAGACTGGAACAAACCACGGACAGCTCTTCAGTCGTCCTTTTCCTTGGAATCAGTGACTTCTTTTCCTTCAGCAGGTCCCAGCCCTGGGGCCTTGCTCTCCAGTGCCCAAATGGATGGAACAGTTCTCAAGACTCGGCCCCGGCCCCCACCCCCACGCCAGGCACCCACCTCCTTCAGCCCCCAGGACTCAGACACGGTTCTCGGGTTCCTTCTCTGTGTTCTCCAGATCTTGTTTCTTTGCTCTCTGCTTGGCAGATCAACTCAGACCAGCAAAACAATGTCGCCAAGCTGGAAGGGGTTTGGGATGGAAGAACAGACGAGTCCCTGAGCCGCAAGTTTCATACAGAATGGGCTGTGGGAATTGTCGTGTCTGAAAGCCAGCTGCTTCTGGAGTTGAAGAGAGGCACATCTTGAAGGGAAATATGTGGCCAGCTCCGTGGCTTTGGCAGATCAAGACCCTGCGAACTAGGAGACGTTGATCCTGTAACCTCGGAAGCAGGATCTGGACCCAGTAAAATCGGGGCCAAATTCTGTTCAAGTTCTCTATCATCAGTAGGAGAAAAGCAGCAACTTGATACCTGAGTCATGCATTTTGACACTTAAACAGAATGCTTAAAGCTATCAAAGACAATAGTTGATTTTTAAGCATAATCGAGATAGAATTAATTGGAATTGCTTAGATCGGTGATTCTCAAACTTTAATACGCACCCCAATCTCCTGAGGACCTTGTTACAGTGCAATTATGACACAGTGGATATGGGCAGGGCGGGGGGAGGGACCGAGATTCTCCTTCGAACACGTTGCTGCAGGACACGGATGCACGTAGTTCACGGGTCACTCAGCAGCCAGCTTGGACGGCAGGCTGTAGCAAAGGAGATGGATGCCCTCGACTGGCGCTCGAAGGGGCTCAGAACCCAGCCGCTTTCGGCTTATGGTGAATTCTCCCTCTGGTCCTTTCTTTCCTCAGGCCCTGTCTGTAGCTGCCCTTGGTCATCACCGTAGCTGCTGCGCGACATTGCCTTCTCTTCTGGAGCCGCTGACGCTCTTTGGATTACAAGAAGGGGAAGCCGACTCTGGCTCACTCGAGGGGATGTGTTGAAACTTCACGGAATCAAAGAGCTGACCAGCCAGTCCTAGGACAGGTGGGACTCAGGACGATCAGGGGGACTGAGTGGCAGAGGCTCCAGGAACACCCCAGTACACCCCATAAGATGCCCGACTTCTCCGTGACTGCAAGTTTCAGGTTTGGGTCAGGTGTTTTTACCTTTAAAGCTCTCAGCATAAGTCAGTTAAATGTGTCTGCCATTCCTTTTTTTGTCCCTTATAAAGCTGTCCTTGATCATTTTAACTCGCGTTTACATGTATAGAATTTTGTGTGTCTGTCTGTGTACGGGGGGAAAAAGAGATGGTAATGAAATGTTACAATATGACCTCTCCTCAAATAAATGATCAAAAAATCCCTTGTGTATCAAACTTAGGGCATTTAAAATACACTCTTGCACTGTTTGGTCTAGGTATATTTTGGACCTGTAACTAAAAATGCTCTTTGTGGGCATGAGCCAGCTTTATCACTTTTTTATGAAATCAACAATTTTTTTTTTAAACTAAATTTTCAAAGGGCAGTTCTGACATACTTTCTTCATAATCACAAGAGTTATGTTTCTAAAAACGTTACAATAGAGGAATTTATGATTGGGGCCATAAAACAACAAATAAGACAACAGACTCCCCTTTTCTGTTTACTATGTAACTTTGGGCAATTAATTTTTTCTGAAGCTCAGTGTCTCTCCTGCAACTGAGAGATAATCAAGCTTCGTTCTCGGAAGTTTGTTTTGATGATTAGATGCAATTTAGATAAAGTTCTTTTGACTGCTTTAAAAAGTTAACTATTTCTATCGTTGCCACTGTTATGGAATTTGAGATCCTGTGATAACTAAGGGCCGGCGAGAAATACAAAAGTATAGTTATATTCACTAAAACATAACGATGAAGACAAAATGAGGAAAGACATCAAGGGTGTTTTATATATCGTAAAATAGTAATAATGAGTATAGTTCGAAACGTTTCCATTTGCCATTCTTTGTTCACCATCAGCTATTCAGGTTCTTCCAAGTTTCCACAGAGGCTTTGCAAATTTGTTTTGCCTTGTTGCAGCTGATATGCCACTATGAGAGCTTGGTTTCTTGAGTCTGGTTCTCCCCAAATGTTTAAAGTGTTTGAGATTCTAAGAGACGATAGCTTCCCATCTCCTAGATTCTGCCCCTACGTTCTGCCCGGAGAACGTTCTGTCTTTTTTCCCAGAGACAGAATAACTTGGATGGTTAAAATGGAAAAGTCTTGGGTGGCATGTGTCGCTCTGCTCCCAGCTCTGCCCAGACTCCCTCTTTAATGCCAGGGGTATCCAGTCACAATCGTGGCCCCCGCCCAGGTAGCCTGGTGCTGGGTGCTCCCCAGCCCTCCTCCCCTACGAAGCACCTTAGCGCACTTCTAACGCGGGTGCTTATGGTTTATTATCTATGCCAAGGATGCTTTTTTTTTAATACCCTGTGCTATACTCTAAATCCTCGTGACTGTTTTGTAATTACTAATTTGTACGTCTTCATCTCTTTCCAAGGATGCTCTTTTTTTGTAAAAAGAAAATTATATTTCTGCCTCCCTGACAGCTGATTCACATCGGTTCTTCTTCCTTCTTCCTTCTTCCTCCTCCTCTTCCTCTTCCTCTTCCTTCTTCTCTTTGAATAATATTTCTTTTTCCAAAAAATCACAACAAAAACGAGGAGCCACTCCTGTAAACTGGAACCGATGTCCTCAAATTGCTGAAGGAACACCGAGACAGAAATTCACGTAAATTGGGCTATCA